AAGAGCGTTGAAGTCTATTTAGAACAGCAGTAAATGAGTTTTTACCTGGTTCAAGTGAGATTTGTTTCCTATTTTGAGTGGCAAAAATAGCATCTGACGTTTGTGCACATAGACGTTACATTAACCAGAATATTGATTTAAGCATGTCTCTTGTGGGATTTGCAGTATTTAAGGTTTTTGCAGGTGGGAACCAACTAAACATACAAGAAACAGGGCGGGAGCGAGAGGGATTAATATATAGTCCTACACGGGACTCTCCCCAAACTCCCGTCCTGCTATTTCTGGGAATGTGTGAACCAGAACTGAGCAGGGAGACATTTTTCAACCCAAACTTTTCTCCATCAAAAATGCAAGTTTGGGAGGCTGACGGAAGTTGCACATTTGTGTCTATTTTGCCACATTGTTTCGGCTGAAAAATAAAAGTCCTAGAAAGGACAGCCTGAGACACGGAAACAAGACGCAGCTCCCGACACTTCCAGGAGACGTTTTGATTTTTTTCCCTCAACGTTTCTTTGCTTTGCAAAATGGAGAGCACCAGTGATATTGAATTTTTGAGCTTTTAGAGCCGCCAGTGAGCCCAAACCTGGATCTCTGTGCAGCCCTGTTCCCTGGAGTTACCCCCATGCAGCTCTCCGCACGCCCAGGAGACGTTTTCATTATTTTTCACTTTTCAAACCTGAGAGCACCAGTGATATTGAAGCCCATTTGTGATTATTCTTCCAGCACCATGGGGGTTTCCTCGCTCCTCTGCCTCCTCCCTGCTCTCCTAGCGACAGCCAGTGTCCAAGGTGAGTCGTGCGCGGCTGCAGCCACTTAACCCTCCTGGACTTGGACCCCTCGCGCCCCTCGACTCCCCGACCAGGGCCCCTCCCGCACGTGCAGGGCTCTGGGACTGGCTCTGGGGCACAAGGGCCTGTCCACACGGCGGTTACAGTAGCAGCTTGGCCACGGCGCTGGAGCGGGGCCGGCAGAGCCCGTAGTGCAGACGCCGCCTGCCCCAGTGGAAGGGGGTTTTCCTCTCTGGAGGGGTCACCTCCCGAGCCAGGGTGGCCAAACTGAGGGGAACGGTCCAGCTGCATCTACCCCAGGAGGCCTTTTGTTTTGTTTAGTTTACCTGCCAATTCCCTCTCCCTGAGTGGACACTGGCCCATTTCGGCACAGGCCCCTCGGCGCGGCGGGGGCGGCGCGAAGGGGAGGAAATGACACTGCCCCAGCCCGGAGCGTCGCCGGGACCCGGCCTGCCCCGGGCGCTAGCAGAGGGCTCTGCAGCCAGCTCCCGCAGCCCCCTCGGGTGCACTCGATCCGGCCCCACCAACTTGTGTCTGTGCAGCTTTTCCAAACAGCCCCCCCCGGCTCCTTCCCCGCCAGGGGCTGCCCCCTCCCACCCGCACCCCCTGCTGCCGTCTGGGCGCTGCCCTCGGCCTTCCCACATCCTCTGTCACTGGGTCACCTCCCTTGTCCCATAGGGGCCCCACCCTTCCCTCACCCCCTCTTATTGTTACCCGGCCTGTAGGAACCGTTCCTGGTCCCCGTCTCTCCCTGGCCGGCTGCCCTTCTGATTGCACTTTCCCAGCGCACCCCGGCCTGCTCACGCCGCAGATTTCTCCTCTCCCTGGCCAGCTGCAATTAGGGCCAGGTGTCCGGCACTGGCCCAGGCAGGCCGATATTTGCAGCCTCCGTCCGGTAAAAAAACCAGGAAATATCGGCCATGGAAAGTGTTTTGTATTTTCTGGGTCTCTTGGATGGAAGGCCACATCTGGCCAGGGGAGTAGGGGGTGGAATTCGTTTTTTTTTTTTGCTCAACAAGTTTGGTCTCCCGTTGTTTTTTCCTCCACCAATTTTTTCCCCGCCATGTTTGGTATTTTTTGTGAAAGCATCTGGCAACCGTAGCTACAATTCCAACTGTGCTTCCCTGAGCACACCCCGGCCTCCTGGAGCCGTGGCTTTCTCCTCTCCCCCGGTCGCCTGTCCACGTTTCCACAGCTCGGGAGCTTCCCGTGTGCGTGTAACCTCCCTGCAGGTTTCTCCGCTACGCCACGCTGGCCGGCGGCCACGTTCGCTCTCCCTGCGCACTGGGAGTGTGAGACGCTGGGGTCGGGAGGGGAAAGGGGGCACACGGAGCCCCGGGCGTTAGGTAGGAGGTGGGGGGTTATCTGGCAATCCTGCAATAGCAGGGACATGGAGCGCACCGAACTATTTCGTGACAGCCATGGGGGGCGGCCAGGAGACCCGGGTGGGGCAGTGGACTCGGCTCATGTTCCTGGAGAAACGAGTGACTCTGGTACCGTGAAAACGTGCATGAGGGGGATGCACATCGGGGTGGGCGGGGCTTATTCTGTGGGCGGAGCTCTGGAAAGGCACCACCCCCTTCACCTGCCCCCAGTGCTAACTCCGCCGTAGCTCTGTCCCTGGCTGCAGGGTCTCAGAGGCCATCGGGCCCATTCGCCCCTCGGCTTGTTGAGACTCGGGCTCAGGGACGTTCAGAGCTGGCACCGTGACCCCAGTGAGAAGGAAACACTCGCTCTTCTCCCTCCAGCGGGGACCCAGACGTGCGACGTGTGTTTCGGCTACACGGCGGCCTGCGATTTGTTCCAAGCGACCTGCCAAAGCGACCAGGCAACAGGCGGCTGCATCTCCGTGGCAGGGGAAACTTCCCTGAGTAGGTGACTTTGCCTTCACCTCAGGCACGTCTCACCCTGCCTCTGTCCCCCGTGGGGCCCCGGCGCTACTGACGGGATTTCATCCACTGGGCTCCCAACCCCACCTGGGCCGGCTGAGCGGCAAAGCCACGCCGGGGAGAAACGCACTTTCTGAGGGGGTGGAAAAGGAGACGGGAGATGGATCCCTCGGGCCCTGCCGGCCGCTCCCCAAGGCCCGTCTGTCGCCCTGGGTCCCCTGGTCAGGGCTGGGCCCTTCCTCACACACGTGTTTGCCTCTGCCTGGGATGTAAAGTCAGGGTGGTTTCCCCCTTGGATGTGGAGACGCCAGACAAACCTCCTCCCTGTTCAGCCCCCCAGCGCCTCAGGCCGGCGGATTCACCAGGGCCCTTCAGGTCCCGCCGTTTGTCCTTTGAGACTGAAAGCTCGATTCATAGACCTGGTTTTGTTCATCCTGCCACTGCATAATGCACAGACACCGTCAGCTTTCATGTGGTCTGTCGTTATCTATTTACCTCTCTGCACCCCCCCACACCCGCACACACACACACCCGCCCACCTCTCTACACCTACACGCACGCACGCACCCGCCCGCCTCTC